ACTGAATAAAAGGAAAAAGAAAGAAATGTACATGCTTGATTTGATAGACTGAAAGGGCGTTAAGTGTCTGCASTAACTGTAAGAACTCATCTATTAGCCAAGGGGATATGCCTGGATCTGTGAAAATTTGCATTTCAGTCCTGTTAACCCTTCATGTCAACATGCTCGCTGTCACATGCAGGGAATAGTAGAACCACTGTAATGTCTGATTGAACTGCTAACAAAATACATTCATATAAATATAAATGATGAAAAAGTACAAGTTGTTAAAATTTACATACAGTGAGAACTTGGTTTGTAAATTAGCGCTTTACCTGTTTTCCACGCGTCAGACGGTTTAATTCAAATTGAAACATCTCGTGTTCATCTGCCACTTAAAGTTACGACCCAGTTTCATCCTATTAAACTTTCATTRTTTGAGGGGGAAATCGGGCTGACAGGTAGAAAGAGGGAAGTGGATGAGAAGAGACAAGATGGGGGGGAAAAAACTGAGGGGATAGAAAGAAAGAGACAGATGCCCCGTAGAGAACAAATGGCTGGTTAGTAATATATGAGGGGCATCAGCTTACACTGAAGGATAAAAAGGCAGTCAAGCACTGGATACACATCTGTCATCTGCTGTGCTCAAACACACAGGCCAGCTGGTGGAGTGTGATGTAACTAGTGACTATTGTTCCATAGCTTATCCACCTTTTTAGGTTTCTAACTTCAGATGCATCTTTTAAGAGAACTACAGTACTCCACAAGGGATTGCGCATGAAAAAAGGAAGAAATGTGAAGTTCTCTGTGTGAAAAACAGTGTCTATGTGCAGCAGATGTTGTGCTTTCAGTGTTCAGTTTGGTTGAGGAAAAGGCCAGAAATTCAAGACAAGATGAGAGTTTAGGGAGCATCTATAATTTGCAAACAGGCTGCAATATTCAATATCACCAACAGAGTTGTCTGTTTTCACCATAGACTTGAATAAGATCACTAGACTGAGCCCCGCCCATACCGTCCACTGGTAGCATCTGTGACAGCATGGAGGAGCAGAAACAGAGACCAAACAGGGCAACAGCTCACAGCCTCCATAGAAACTAATAGATAAACAGCAGCTGAACCGGATTCACAATTTATCTGTCATGTTTTCACAATAAATTAATAAGTATGTTAATTTCATTCAACAATCATGTAAAACAGCAGATTTATACCAGAAAAACATATACGGTAAT